CACCTTTAGATATTGGAAGCAATAATCTACAGGATGCCAATACGAGTAATATTGCCAATACATTGTATATATAAGGATGAGAGGAACAGACTGGAACGTCCCGCAACTTCAACTTGTTTGGTGACTTTTTTGGTCTTATTATGCCTTATTACAATGTCAACATATATATAAATAATATATATATATATTGTTTTTTCTTTTTTTTCAATGGGAATTGCAGGTCCGTTTGTGTGCTTCTTTGCGGCCAAGGGTTGCTTTCCCCGCACCGGGGCACCCGGGGTCCCGCGGGACGGTCCCGCGGCAGGTTGCTGACGCAGTTTGTGCGCCTTCCGGTCGCTTCGCAGGTGGCGATGGGGTGGGGATGGGTGGCGGCGAACAGGAGCCGCACAGCTGTGGATGTTGTGGAGCATCCACCAACTGCGGGGACAGGGGCCACATCCAATGCAGAGCTGTCAATGTTGACCAAGTCAGTGAGTGGGGCAAAAAGAGGCCCGTGTATGGAACGAACCGACTGCCAATAGGATCTCAAAGACTGCGCCGTCCCTACAGAGTTCTCATGATGCTACATGGTTTAACCGCCGGGTACGAACCCCATTGGGGACAAGACGTGCCACCCGTGATCACATGTGTTCTGACGGGGTGAAAGGATCTCCTTTGATGTGAGCTTGTGCGGGACCGCAGCTGTTGGAGGGCACCCCAATGATGCTACTGATGTACAAAGGGGCCGTGCGCATCACCAGCATGTTTTGCTAAATTCTGACTAAAGTCGATACACTTTTGTGTCCTCCTTTATACCCTGAAGCTCACCAACCTGCACTCTTGGCTGGTTGATTCATGGAGGGAAAATCTCCCCACTGGTGAACCACCAACATAGCTCGGCATCGACCCACGGATATCGTTGGTTGCTTCAGTGGATTCTGGCCCACTGGATCCCTTCCACAGCCGACGCGGCTTCTTTTCTGGTCACAGACAGCTGAGCACAGACAGCAGCTTCTATCTATAGGGAGGGGTTTGCAAAGGTTCTTGATCCGAACATCGGATGAAATGGCTTACAGGGGGATTTCAAGAAGCCAAGCGTTCTGCGGCAGGGGTCCAAGCATTTCCAGTGGCCTCACCAGTCGATGGTTTCTTTTCATCAATGTCCGAAGCTCCGAGGAAAGAAGATTCCGGCATCCCAACACCAAGAGGGAAGAACCTTGCAAGGTCACAAGTGCAGCTCTTCTCCACTGTAAACGGATTCGGCTGTTTTCTGCTGTAAACACCATTTCTGGACGTCTTCTTTTGGATCATCGCTATAGTCGCCCATCGCTCTAGTCGGTGGAGCCCATCGGCCGCCGGCTTTCGGCCGGCCGCACCAGTCCAACGTGGCGAAAGCCACGGCCACGGCGGTGCAGTATGAGGAGCGGAGCGGCGAGTCGGGGCGGAGGGCTGGCTGTGAACTCTGCTCTCCCTGCCATTTCCGAATGCCACACATGACTCAGACCTGCTGCTCTGAACCTCACCTCCAACAACTCTTGCTTCTGCCAGCTGAGAGCTGAGAGATGGGGCCCCCGTCCATCCGTCCATCCGGCTGGCGGTGCTGGCGCGGTGGGGGAGATTGGATCCAAACATCGGAGCGTCAGCGGAGAAGACGCGTCGGAGAAACCAAACAGTGTTGGTCCAACAAAAGGACCAAGGGTTGGTTATGTTCCCGTATAATAATATTAATAATTATTACTTAAAAAAAACATTTTTTTCCTTTTTTTCGGACCGTCCCGCTTTGAGGAGAAAGGAGTCGGCGAGATGCTGCGGGCCCGGGAGCTCGAGGGGCCGCTGTCAGGCGAAGGGGCCTGACGGAGCATCTTGAGCCTGGATTGAGTAGTGAAGGATCGTGAAGGACTGTTTCCTCACAGGAAGGCAACAAACGGCCACAAAAAAATAACTCATTACTCTATAAAGTCTTATATTAATTTATCATTATCAATTTTCAACGGTCTTTTTCATGGCAGCGAAGACCACGAGAAGCTGGCACAGCTTGGTTTCTGACCAAGTGAAGATGTTTACCACGAGCAGTTGCTGGTGACCACTTCCAAAGTCCTAGTCTAGCTTGTTGGACGGTGCATTGGTTGCATCAGCGTGAAGCATGTAGCTTCCTATAGAAGTGGAACTCAACCACTGTCGAACTGACGGCCATCTCCCACGCTGTAAGGTGCCCATCTTGCAAGCTGGTTGGGAGCCTCAACGGTTGGGGTTTTGCGACATGGCCTTTTCAGCGGCAGAAGAAGGGGGAGACTCTACACGTCCGGGGCGCCCACTGGGGAGTTGTGGCCAAATCTGATGAGTCATGAACTGGGTCCGATTACGAAAGCCAGCCTTCGTATAAGGCGCCAGCTGAGTTGTGCTTGGCGAACAAAGTGAGTAGTTAGGGGGTCTGGGGGGGTGGCCCGCAAAAGGTACACGCAAACTCGGCGCATGCTGAGGGAGGAGGGTGCATCGAGGGAAGGTTTTTTGAGGTTGTGTTGGAGGTGATTTTTGAGGGGTGGTGATGCAAGAAATGCAATTTGCATCATTTGCATCATCTGAATGGAAAGGTGTAGTTGGCACCTTGCCAGGTATAGATACCCAGGGTAGCTATAGTGCAGCTACCAGGTATAGTACTTCAAGTTCCCCTTCCGTCAACCGCTCGATAACCTCTACACACGCACAGCAATCCACAGCTTTGAAGCACAGCAATCCACAGCTTTGAAGCCTCATGCGCGCGATACCTGGGAACAGAATTGT